CCCAAGACGGCCTGGACAAGATTGTGGACACTGCTCCTGAGGTTCCCTCTGTTAATGAAAGCTGAAGTTTTCTTTGAAAGGAATTGAAGTTTTTGCTTTTCTGTTTTGATGTACTGTGGCTCGGTCCCCTTGACGAGCTTTCTTTCTATACTTGCTAAGACAATTTTTCTTTTTGCTTTTCTTTTCTTTGTTGCTGGCTATGAGGCCATCTGTGCCTTTTGTTGGATGATGGGATTTTCCTTTTGAATTTGCAATCTGATGCTGTCTGGCTTCTATGTCTGAATGTTTTCTATACTGTTTGCCCCTGGCCGAGCACTGTTGGGACCTTGGGGCTGAATAGATGCATGGTCTAGTTCTGTACTGCTTGGAATAGATGCTCCGTCTAGTTCTGTACTGCTTGCCCCCGGCCAACCACTATTGGGACCTCAGGGTCGAACATATGCTCGGTCTGGTTCTGTACTGTTTGCCCTCGGCCGAGCACTGTTAGGACCTCGGGGCCAAACAGATGCTCAGTTTGGCTAACAAATATGTTACATGGTTGTGCTTGATTTTGTAAGAGGGTCTTACTTAGGTCTAGGTTGGTTCTAAAAAACAATTGTTTGCCCCCACTTGGAGCTAAGTAAGATTGGTACTAAAGATTGTGCTCTTAGGTAGAACTGCTTAAGTCTGTTGCAACTTTGATAGCATAGGTGCATTTGAATGGGATAAGGGCATGAAGAGGTGTCTTACTCAGTTCCAGGTTGGTTTTGAAAAAAAAGCAATTGTTTGCCCCCAGCTGGAGTTGAGTAAGAATAATGCTGGAGGTATGCTCCCGATAGAACTTAGCTTAGTTTGTTCCAACTCTTTTTGTATGCAGCAGTATTGAAGTGTTGATGTGATGATACTTAAGAGACTTTGTAGACTCAGAGATGTTTACTTAAGATATGTTAGTGCTGTTTCCACCAAGCAATTCCACTTGGCTAAAGTACAATTTAGTTTCCAAACATAATTCCACCAAGTAGTTCCACTTAGCATGTTTGACTGCTAACTAAATTTTAATTCCGTTCAGTCGTTCTGAAACTAAGTCTATTTGGGTTAAGACCAAAGCTAATTCCGTTTGATAAACATCAAAGCTATTCCTGTTTGGTAAGTACCAAAGCTAATTCCGTTTGATAAACATCAAAGCTAATTCCGTTTGATAAACATCAAAGCTATTTCTGTTTGGTAAGTACCAAAGTTAATTCCGTTTGATAAGAATCAAAGCTAATTCCGTTTGATAAACATCAAAGCTATTTCCGTTTGGTAAGTACCAAAGCTAATTCCGTTTGATAAGCATCAAAGCTAATTCCGTTTGGTGAACACCAAAGCTTATTGCAAAAATTTGATAGTCTTAAGAGAAGTGGGGAGGCCTCTGTATTGGCCAAAAGGTAAATATCTTTACATCCTGATAAAGAAGATGGGGTTTAATTCTATTGATATTATTTCTTGAGATTTGCTACATTCCAGGGCCGAGGTATGGCTCTGCCTTTGAGATCCTCTAGATAGTAAGCTCTATTTCCAGCAGCAATTGTGACCTTGTACGGACCTTCCTAGTTAGGCCCAAGTTTGCCCTAGCCAAGCACTCTTTTATGATCCATAACTTTCCTCAAAACCAGTTCTCCAGGTGTAAATTGCCTTGGGAAAACTTTTTGGTTGAAACTCTTGATGAGCTGCTGCTGATACGCTACAAGTCTGATCAGTGCAGCGTCTCTTCGACCTTCTGCCATATCCAGTGCTTGTGCAATAGCTTCCTCATTACTGGTGCTTTCAAACAATTTAGACCGAAGGGTTGGGAGACCTACTTCGAGGGGGATGATGGCCTCTATTCCATAAGTTAGGGAGTAAGGTGTTTCCTTCGTTGAGCGCCGTGCTGTGGTTCGGTCATAGTACGTGGGGTAACTCTTCAACCTATTTTCCTTTTGCATGCTCAAGCCGTTTCTTTACTCCGTTGATGATGGTTTTGTTTGACGCTTCTGCCTATTCCTTACTTTGTGGGTACCCTGGAGAAAAGTTCCGATACTTGATTATGAGGTTGGCACAAAACTTTCTGAATATCTTTCTGTCGAACTGTGTTCCGTTATCCGCAATTAGTATCTGTGGGATGTCGAAACGCACCACCATGTTTCTCATGACAAACCGCTTTGTGTCCGCTTCTTTGATACTTGCCAGGGCTTTGACTTCAACCCACTTAGTGAAATAGTCAGTTGCAGCAATGAAGAATCGCCTGTTCCCAATGCCTCATGCCAATGGCCTGACAATATCCAGACCCCGTTGGGCAAAGGGCCATGGGCTGGTGAGTGGGGTGAGGGTTTTGGCTGGCTGATGAATGAGTGGAGCAAACCTCTGACATTTATCATACTTCTGTACCTACTGTTGCGTATCTTGTTGCATCCATGGCCACCAGTACCTGTGAGTGAGGGCTCGGTGCACCAGTGACCTTTCACCAACATGGCATCCACAAATCCCATCGTGAATTTCATAGAGAACATTCTCGACCAGATTTGGATGCACGCATAGAAGATAAGGGCCAAGATAGGAGCGTCTGTACAGCTTCCCAGATGGTGAGATCCAAAATCGAGCTGACCTATGTCTGACTTTGTTAGCTTCCTTTTTATCTTTGGGGAGAGTACCAGATTTTAGAAAAGCAAGTATCGGATCCATCCAGCTCGGCTCTAGGTTGTTGTAGAGGACTGGAGGTGCAATGCTTGGTTCTGGCACGAACTTAACCCAAACTTTTCTAGCATCTGTGGTATCTACTGATGAGCCTAGGCAAGCCAGAGCATCAACATGGCTGTTTTTGTCCCGACTAATTCGTTCCACTCGTATGGATTGAAACTTTTTGAGTAGCTTTTTGGCCTTGCTTGCGTACATAGCCATTCTTTCATCTCGTGTTTCATAGACCCTAGAAAGCTGGTTCACCACCAGTTGTGAATCGCTAAAAACAAGAAGCTGTTCTGCACTGAAGTGTTCGGCACTACGTAAGCCAGCTAACAACGCTTCGTACTCTGTCTCGTTGTTTGAAGCCTTCCAATCGAGCCTAAGAGCCTGTTCCCAGATAAATCCTTCTGGTGAGATAAGTACTACTCATGCCCTCGAGCCTCGGTTATTGGATAACCCGTCAGCATAAAGCTGCCATATGTTTCCAATAAAGAGTTTCTATGCTTCCGAAGCGCAGTGCTTTCCCTGTTCGGTGGTGCGTGGCACCTGTGCCGAACTGGGATTCTCTGGCTCGGTACTCTGGGTGGGAGCAAATTCTACGATGAAATCTGCTAAGACCTGGGCCTTGATTGCCATCCTGGGTTGATACCAAATGTCAAACTCACCAAGTTCTACCGCCCATTTTGCTGTTCCGCCAAAGAAATCGGCTCGGCTGAATACAGATCTGAGGGGGAATGTAGTGAGGACGTTGATGGTATGCCCCTGGAAGTAATGTTACAACTTTCTTGAGGCAATAAGCAGCGTGTAAGCTAACTTTTCCAAGAATAGATATCGTGTCTCGGCATCTAGTAAAGTCTTGCTAACATAGTATACTGACCTCTGTTCCTTGTTAACTTCTCGAATTAATACTGCGCTTACGGCATGATCTGAGACTGCTAGATATAGGTACAGCTCCTCTCCTGGTTCTGGAGTGGACAGAAGGGGTCATGTGCTGAGGTATCTTTTGAGACTTTGTAGTGCTTCGGTACACTCAGAACTCCATTCAAATGCTGCCCTTTTCCTAAATAGTTGGAAGAAGGGCTTCATCCGATCTGAAGATTTGCTGATGAACCGATTCAGGGCGGCCGTCATTCGGGCCAGTTTCTGTAGCTCTTTAGCCTTTGTTGGTACATCAAGACCTTGTATTGCTTTGATTTGATCCGGATTCACCTCGATTCCTCTGTGAGTGACCATGTATCCTAAGAACTTCCCTGTTCCTACGCCGAAAGCGCATTTCGAGGCATTGAGGCGAAGTTGATGGTTTTTCAGGATGCCAAAAACTTCTCTCAAGTCTGCAAGGTGGTTTGTAGCGAGCTTGCTTTTTACTACCATCTCATCTATATAAGTTTCCATGGTTTTCCCTAGTTGGCCCTTGAACATCCGATTGATCATTCGCTGGTAGGTTGCCTCGACGTTCTTGAGGCCGAACGACATTACTTTATAGCAGTAAGTTCCCCTTGGAGTGATAAATGCTGTCTTTTCTTGATTCGGACCGAACAGTGGTATCTAGTGATAGCCGCTATAAGCGTCCAGAAAGCTCGTGCGCTCATGCCCTGTTGTTGAGTCTACTAGTTGATCGATGCGAGACAGCGCAAAGCTATCTTTGGGGCAGGCTTTGTTTAAGCAAGTGAAGTCAACGCAAACTCTTCATTTTTCATTCTTCTTTTTGTCTACAACTGTGTTGGACAACCATTGTGGGTACTGACTTCTCTGATCGCTCCCGATGCCAGGAGTTTTTCGACTTCGGCAATCACTGCTTCAGTGTGCTCAAATGAGGATCTCCGACTTTTCTGTACAACGGGCCGAGCGGAAGGGTTGATGTTGAGCTTGTGGCAAGAAAATTCTGGGTTCAATCCTGGAGTATCATATGCTGACCATGCGAATACCTCCATATTTTCCCTCAGCAGTTCCAGCAGCTGAAGTTTCTTATCAGCGTCTAGTGAGGTATCGATAAGGAAGTACTTTTCTGGATCATTCTCTTTTACCAGGACTTTCTCCAAATCCTCTACTATCTTTTCCTCTAGGGCTCCCCCAACATCTTCCAAGATTGGCTGTTCGGCCACTTCCACTGTCTGTACTCGGTTGTAGAGTTGCTTTACCTTTAGTGCCACCATGAAGCAATGTTTGGATGCAACTTGATCCCCTGAGATCTGCTCTACTTCGTGTTCTGTTGGGAAACGGATGAGCTGGTGGTAGGTTGAAGGGACCGCCTCCATTTGATGAATCCATGAACGGCCAAGTATGGCGTTGTAAGGGGATGGTGTATTAACAATTAGAAACTCTATCTAGAGGGTTTTTGTTCCTGCCACAACTAGCAATACTATTCTGCCAAGCGGCCATTCTGGCTGTGAATTGAAGCCAACTAACGGAGCTTCCGCTGGGGTGAGGTGCTGCTTGGAGAGACCAAGCTTTTTGAACAAGTCATAATACAATATGTCTGCTGTACTGCCTTGATCTACCAGGACTCGTTTTACGTCACACCATTTCCCAATTCCCACAGTTATAATCAGTGCATCACTATGTGGGTGCTGTATGCCTTCTAAATCCTTTCTAGTAAATGAAACAGTACACAAGAGGGATTTGGGTACCGTGCGTACCTTTTTCGATGCAGGCTCTATTGACATGACCTGCTGAATTTGCATAGCCTTAGCAATCTCTTCTTTCGGTGTCTCCTCAGGTTCCTGAGTCGCTGTTCCATGGATCACATTTATTATTAACAGAGGTGGGTTCTCAACAATTGGTTATGGTGGTGGGTTCCCCGGTTCGGTCACTTTCTTATCCTGATCAATGTAATCCCGAAGTGCCCAGCTACTACTAGGTCCTCCAAGTGTTGTTTCAGTGCCCTGCAGTTCTGAGTCATGTGCCCCCTGTCTTGATGGTAGGTGCATCTGAGCTTCTGATTGCGCCGAGCCGGATCTCCTAACATTTTCGGCAGCCAAGCAAAGAAGGGCTCTCTCTTGATCTTTTCCAAGATTCGATAGATCGGTTCTTTGAATACAGCCACGACGGCTTCGTGAGATTTGAACTTATCCACCTTATTCACTGTGAGCCCTCGCTGTTCTCCTCGATTTGTTCTCTTCTTGTGCCGAGCTGTTTGTTTTGTTGATGCTACTTCGATGGGGATCTGATCATCTTCGAGGCGAGTGTACTGCTCAATCCTGGCATGCAAATCTTTCAATGCTGTGGCTGGGCACTTGGTAAGTGATTGTCTCAACTTACTTTCCAGGCGCAGACCATGTTTGAAAGACATAATGACCATCTGCTCACTGCACACGTTTTCCTCTAGGTCATTGTACTCTTCCCAGTACCTCCTAGCATAACTGTGCAGCATTTCTTCCTGCTCCTTTAGGAGACCGAACAGTGTATCCGGCTCTTTCGGGATCTTAGTGTTGGAGATGAACCTGGCTAGGAACTCTTAGGAGGGCTGTTTCCAGCCATGAATTGATCCAGTGGGGAGTCGATCGAACCATCGAAGTTCAGTTTCCCAAGATGGATAGGAAGACTTTGCACATCAGTGCCTCATCTCGGCTCCAAGGAGACATTATCTGTCTGTAATGGCTAATATGTGTCAGTGGGTCTGACTTCCCATCGTATGAAGTGAACTTTGGTGGGGTGAATTTTTTTGGAGGTCTCATTGCCTCAATTTCTGGGGAGAATGGCGAGGAGACTAGCCTATCCAGCGCTCGGTGTTCTCTCTGGTGAATGGTACGGTCTAGATGATCCTAATGTTGCTTATTCTGCTTGTTGCCGATCAACTAAGTACGAAGGTCTTGAGGAGGGTATTCAGTCTGTTGGCTAACCGTCTTTTGCCTCTTAGCCCTTCTCCGGTGTGACCCACGGGTGTGGCTGCTCACCGCCTCACTCTGTACCGGGATAGGCTGGCTTTGTTGCCCAGACTTATTTATGGGGAACTTCTTCACTAGTGGCTCTCTGGATGAGCTCCTCCGTCGCAAGCAAGAGGGCTCTGCTTCAGTCTTCTTTTCCGTTGGATCACCCAGTACCCTTTTAAGTTACGCTTTCAGCTCCTGTATCTCCATCCCCATGGAGTCTATGATTTGATCTCTGTAATCCTTTTCTAGAAGAAAGTGATGAGAAGAACCTCCAGCGAAGGGTAATCGATGATCGACGGATTCCGGGGTCCGGTTATTGTTTCTAGTTTGTTCTTCTAGGACTGTTAGGAGTGCTAAGCCTTTGTCCTTTGTCTTCTCTGTCTGTGGAGTATGTGTCGAAGGTGGGATGTCCTCAATCCCCAATGCTAGAACTGAGTGCAGAGCTTAGAGACAAAGTGATCCACGTTCATCGTAACAATTGTGCGTATCGAATATCGCACGAGATGAAAGTGGGTCGGGGCTCCACGCTCAGTTGGACTATCCAAGGATTGAGGTTCCTGCCACAAGAAGCATAGTAAGAGCTACCCGGCCAGGGTTGGCCGGATAACCCCTCCGGTGTGGGAATCAGTGATCGAAGAAGAAGTGTAGAGAGTTAAGTTTGTAAGTAAGTGGGGTTCAGCTTGGATCAGTTCAATTACCTTCAGTGTGAAGTTCATTTAGTATATATAGGGTTCCTTGCTTATTTCTCTAGATGGTTTCATGGAGCTTTGGTGCTGCCAGGTTTCCTTTTAGCATGGCTCTTCATGGGGGACCATCTGGTTGTTGTCAAGAGGTGGTTATACTCATTGTAGTCATGCTGATAACAAACCACATTCCTCTGGTTTTAACTGTTTCTGTGATTCTAGGGAGAGGGGACCAGCTGAGGTGACATCCTTCATGTGCATGCATTCATAGCTTCCACGTTTCTCTAAGGGGTTTCCTCAGCTTGGTACCGTTGTGCCTCAACTCGGTACCGTTGTGCCTCGGCTCGGCCTTTTACAAGATCGTTTATAGAGATGGGCTGGTCCATTCGAATATCTTTGTACGGGCTTGGCCCACTTTAGTTCGGCCTATAGATTAGGTCTTGCAGTTCGGCCCAACCCAGCATCGCGGCTGGACTAGCCTTTCCACTGCGGGTTGGGCCCAAGTGCTTGAGGACTCGAGTAGACTGTTGATCATAGAGTTGGGCTCAATTGACTTGCCCATATATTCATCTAACCCACTTGGGTTTGGGCTTCAGTGGATTGGGCCGGCCCAAGGCTTGGATCTGACCCATTTCATATTCAGCTCCTGTACTTACAATCTTCGTTTGTTACGATGGGAAGGCACACAACTTTGGAACATTTGATATCCTGTTTGAATTAGTCAGGCTTTAGAACTTCACAATTCATCTTATTAAGAGCAATCATTTTCCAAATATGTATTGCTCTCAAGAAGGCAACGATATGTCCATATTACATACTTTCGATTTGCAAATGATGGAAATCCCTTCATACACATTGTTATGCATTTTTTGGATATATGTTATGCATTTGTGTGACAAATGTTATGTAATTTTTTGATGAAGTTATGACAATTTATGGTTCATAAATGAAGTTACACATTTTTGTGGTAATGTTTTTTATTTTTTCATTGAAACATTTTTTAATTCAAAATGTATAATATCACCACGAAAGTGAGCAACGTTATCACAAAAATGCGTAACTTCATTTCTAAACTAAAAATTTTCATAACTCTACTAGAAGATTACATAACATTTGCCACAAAAGTGAGTAACTAACCAAAAAAAGTGTACTAAGGTGCATATTGGTGCATACAAAAGGGGTTCCCTAAGTTTTAATAAGCATTTTATTCAATTAGTCCCTAGTTGCAAGTTAACCAAAAAAACAAGTCTCAACTACTAAGGGCCATCTAGACAAATTCTTTCTCACAAATGCATACTATCTTGGGCATATCTCCAAAGAGACTACTTGTAGCAATGTAACGGTAACAAAATTTAACCACTAATAAGCAGAGCTAGACAAATTTCTTCTCAAAATTCCAGTCTATCTAAAGTACATCTCCTTTACATAACAAGCAATATTGCCTTTGCATATCTCAAAAGACACTACTTGTAGCAATGACTGTACCAAAATCTCAATCACTAATGACTAGAGCTATGTTAGCTTTTGATAAAACTCTCTTTAGAATGAACTATATTTTGTATTGAATTTTTCTCACTTATCGATTCATATATTTTGCCCAAAGGCTTACATCCTTTTATATAGAGAAGGTTATACATAAGTTCAATGAATAAGATCCATGAACCTAAACAACCTTACAATTAACTAATAATCTAGACAATGTACTTAATACATATAAAATACATGAATATAAAAATACATGAATACAAAGAATGTATGAACTCAATGTATCCAATGCATGCAATGTATCCAATGTATCTAATGTAAATATGGCATTAATTTTAACACTCCCCCTTAATGCTATATTGTGTGACACCCAACATTTCTCTAAAAAATTCAAATTCGTCCCTTGGTAGAGCTTTGGTGAAGATGTCTGCAACTTGATCTTCAGTCTTGCAATACATGATTTGAATCTCATCATCTTCCACAGCTTCTCTAACGAAATGATGTTTGATAGCAATGTGTTTGGTACGAGAATGGTAGACGGGATTCTTTGCCATAGCAATAGCAGACTCATTATCACACATAATTGGAGTAGCTTCACCTTGCTTCTCACCAAAATCATCCAAAATTCTTCTTAGCCAAATTGCTTATGTAGTTGCCAATGATGCTGAAATATATTCGGCTTCAGCAGATGATTGTGCCACAGTTTGTTGTTTCTTGGATGACCATGAAATTATGCCCGATCCAAGAGAAAATGCATACCCAGAAGTGCTTCTCATATCATCAATACATCCGGCCCAATCACTATCACAAAATCCAATTAACTTTGCATCAAGAAATTTCTCATAAAAAATTCCATAATCAAGTGTACCTTGAATGTATCTCGACACTCTTTTTGCAACCCTAAAATGTATTTGGCTTGGACTGTGCATGAACCGAGACAATAAACTTGTAGCATACATGATGTCAGGTCTTGTAGCAGTTAAGTACAACAAACTTCCAACCAAATTTCCAACCAAACTTCTATAGCAAGATGCTTCAGCTTCTTTGCTTCCATCTTCCTTTGACAACTTTTCATTCATAATCAAGGGAGTAGCAACTGTTTTGCAATTCTTCATTTTAAATTTCTGAAGAAGTGTTTGAGTAGACTTCTTTTGGCAAATAAAAACACCACCATTGTTTTGGTAAATTTCAATGCCTAAAAAATGATACAATAGTCTCAAATCACTCATTTTATATTTCTTCATCATCTCCCTTTTAAAATCTTCAATCAATTTTCATCACTATCGGTAAAAACCAAGTCATCAACATAAAGTGAAACAATGAGAATACCGGTTGTACCTTGCCTCTTGATGTACAAAGTTGGCTCACTTTCGCTTCTTTGAAAACCCTTTTCATTGAAGTAAGCATCAATTTCACTATACCATGCCTGGGGTGCTTGCTTTAGGCCATATAAAGCCTTCTTCAACTTGTACACTTTATCTTCTTTGCCTTTGACAACAAAGCCTTGAGGTTAATCAACATACACCTCTTCTTCTAATTTTCCATTCAAAAATGCAGATTTTACATCAAGTTGGTGCAAGAAGCAACCCTTTTGAGCTGCCAAAGCAATGATAGCTCTAATTGTATTAAGTTGAGCCACAGGAGCAAAAGTTTCTTGGAAATCAATTCCAGGTTGTTGTGAATACCCTTTTGCCACAGGTCTTGCTTTGTTCTTTTTTGAATAGAGCCATCCGGATTGAACTTTGTTTTGAAAATCCACTTCACACCAATTATTTCTTTTTCTTTCGGTTTCTCCACTAACTCCCAAGTCTTGTTCTTCTCAATCACATGAATTTCATCTTCTATTGCTTTCTTCCATGCTTCATCTTTAATTGCCTCTTCAAAATTTTCAGGTTCAACAATGCATAAATTGCATCTTGCATACACATCACTAAGACTCCTTATATTTCTTGGAGTTGAACTTGGAGATGAAGAACTTGAACTTGGAGAAGATTGTGAACTAGCAATTGGTGACACTCTTTGTGGAGATTCAAGAGTTGCAACATCTTCAACTTGTAGACTTTCTGATTCTTCATTGAAAGCAATGCTTTGATCTTGGACTTTCTTTTCCTTCCAATCAAAAGACACCTTCTCATCAAAGAGAACATCTCTACAAATAATCACCTTCTTTTGATCCAAATTGAGGAGTTTATAGACTTTGGATTTTGAGCTATAACCCACAAAGAATCTTTTGCAACATGAGCATAACAAATGAAACCAAACACCTTCAAGTGATTCACCGATGGTTTCCTTCCACTCCAAGCTTCAAATGGAGTTTTGTCCTTAAGAGCTAT